AGGGTGCAGGGTTCAGGTTTAGGGATCAGGATTCATGGTTCAGGTTTAGGGCTTAGGGTTTAGGGTTTAGGGCTTTGGGTTCAGGGTGTAGGGCTTAGGGTTTAGGGTTGAGGGTTCGGGGTTTAGGGTTCAGGGTTCAGGGTTTAGGGTTTAGGGTTTAGGGTTCAGGGTCTAGGGTTTCGGGTTTAAGGGTTTAGGGCGCATTATTCCAGGTACAGGACAGCCTAAATCCAAAATGTCTACAGCCTTAGGCTTCAATATTCGTGCCATACTTAATATAGGGGCCTTAATAATTAGAATACGGTTTTGGGGCCCATGATACTAGAATTTGACTAAGGAACCACCAGAATAGTATCGGTAATTATTTAAGCCCCTATATTAGTGGTTCCAACCTCTGCTTCGAACTCAATTGCAAGCTTGGCTACTCTGCAGGTTTACGGGTCGAACTATATGTAGGTTCTAAGCAACTGCGACATCCAGGTAGGCCCCAGACCCGTCACTTGTTAGGTTTACAAGCCTTGGATCCTAAACCCTAAACCCCAAAGCCATGGACCCCGCCTGTCAAGAAACGAGAATGCATCCACGCACCCTGACCCAATGGTTTTGCATTGAGGGTCTCAGAGCCACATGCGTAAAGGAATTCGACTGGCCGATTGTGTTTAAGGAAGACCCTAAACCCTAAACCCCTAAACCCCGAAACCCTAAACCCTAAACCCTAAACCGTTCCTGAACCCTAAACTCCAGCGCCAGGGAGGCGGCCTAAGGATTTCAGGTCAGGTGCCGTAAAGGACACGGTTTTCTCACGTCACTTCTTCATGGCCCAACCCCCCAAACATATCTAAACCCTTTCAGATCCCGAAGATCCCGAAATCAGAGTTTCAACCCCGCTAAACCCTAAACCCTAAACCCTGAACCCTGAACCCTAAACCCTAAACCCTAAACCCAACCCGTAATCTCAGGACTTCCCGGAGCCCTCGAATTGAACCTTTGAGAATTTTACTTGATCAGCTCCTTTTGAAAAGGGTTTTCAGTTTAGGGCGTTTAGGGTTCAGGAACCGTAAACCCAAAGTCCTAAACCCTGAAAAGCAGAATATCACCCTAAAGCCCTGAACCCTAAACCCTAAAACCTTAAAGCCCTAACCCTAAACCCTAACACCCTAGACCCTAAACTGACGTCTCAACGCAAAGGTCGGCCTTTTGCAAATCGCTTCACAGTCGCTGATCCCAGCCTCGGCGGCACCCCGGGAGCTGTACGCCACGTCGGCGGCGGCTTTGCCGCAGATTTTTCCTTAAACCCCCCTAAGCCCTAAACCCCAAACCCTAAACCCTAAACCCCTAAACCCCTAAACCCTAAACACCTAAACCCCTAAACCAAAAACCCTGCACCCTGGAGCTTCCGGAGTATCGGATGTGAAGGGGAGCCGAGGTTGAGGAGAGATCCTGGAATCTCCAAAGTGGTTTAGGGTTTAGGGTTTGCTAAGCCAGTTTTTGTAGTTAGGATCCTGTAAGGTAGCCCCCAGAAAGGAAGTACAACGGAGAGTCGAGGTTGGGTTTAGGAGGGTTTAGGTTTAGGGTTTAGGGTTTAGGGTTTAGGGTTTAGGGTCTAGGGTTTAGGGTCTAGGGTTTAGGGTTTAGGGTTTAGGGTCTAGGGTTTCTGAGTTTGGGGGACTAGGGTGCAGGAACTGGCGTTTCGGGGGGGGTTTAGGCCTTGGGACTGCGAGTTCTTTCTTTCTTTCTTGTTGCGGGTTTAGGGTTCAGGGTTTCAGGGTTTAGGGTTTACGGTTTAGGGTTTTAAGTTTTGAAGTTTGGGGTTTCGGGTGCTGTGCTTTGGTTAATGTGGAGCGAACCCTTGAACCAGCCAACTCTGGCGATCCATTCCAAATTCTAATCCCCTTTGAACGATAAGGCATGGCTTGCGGGACAGGAACTGTGAGCCCAACCAGTGCACATTGAAATATACATTCCTTATAGGCTTTTTGGAGATCGTTTCAGGCAGCTTCTGGGCAGTCGCAGGCCGGCAGGAAGTTGAACCCTCAACAGGCCCAGAATTTTGACCCGGAACCCTTAACCATTACACCCTCTCTCGTTCAGGGTTCGAGGTTTGATAACCACGTCCTGGTGCGACCATGTGCGGACTCAGCGTACAGGTATAGGATCTGTAGAAGCAACAAGGCACTTGGAGGTGCCAGTCGTGACTTGCTATAGGACCTATAGGACTAACCCACCCTATCTACTGTTCAAACTACTTTGGCCACTTGCTTGCCCACTGAACCACCAAGGGGGACCCTCATCAATAAAGACCCCAAAAGTCGCAGGATCCCATGATACAGACCCTGTAGACAGGTTCAGAGACGCTCAAAACTCTCACTCTCTCTCTCTCTCCCACCCTAAACCCTAAACCCTAAACCCTAAACCCTAAACCCTAAACCCTCTCCCTGCGAATTGCTTCAGCCATCCTGACGGCCGAATACGTAGTTTGAGATCGTCCAGCAGGCAGCCATGAAGCTTCAACCCTCAGCCCTACACCCTCAAGGGCATGCTGAGGATCCCTGGGTTGCAGACTACACAAGAGGCTTCAGGGTTTAGGGTTCAGGGGTTTAGGGTTTGGGGTTTAGGATTTTGGGTTTAGGGTTTAGGGTTTAGGATTTAGGGTTTAGGGTTCAGGGGGTTTAGGGTTTAGGGCTGGAACCCCCCCCCCCAAGCCCCCTAAAAACAATACCTTTGGAGATTGCCCCTAATCCTTAAACCCTAAACCCTAAACCCTAAACCTTCACCGTGAGTGAGGTCACAGTTGCGGGGAGCCTCCTGGGCCTGGGATTGCTTCTCAGCGGCCACGAAAGTTCAGGTTCAGGCTTTCGAGGTTAGAATAGAGGAGAGTAAAGGGGTAGTTCTCTAAAATAGGGTCCCTTTTTAGGTTCCCACTATAGTACGGCACCCTTATAAAAAGGACCCTAAAAGCGACCCGAATTTAGAGAACCACCCATGTTCGAGTATACTATGGTGTATCATAGTATATTACAAACTGAGTTCCAGTATACCATGGTGTAGAATAGTATACTATAAACTGGGTTCTAGTATATTAAAGTATAGGGGTTCAAGTTAGGGTTCAGGATTGCAAGAAGGATTCAGGTTCAGGGTTTAGGGTTTAGGTTTTAGGGTTTAGGGGTTTCAGGTTCAGTGATTTCCAGGATTTAGCTTTAGAGGTTGAGGTTAGGGTTGAGAGCCAGAGCCTAGAGTCTGGAGGTGAGAATTCAGCGTCGGTTAAAGCTTGGAGCTTCGAGTCTGGGGTTTAGGGTTGAGGGTTTAGGGCTTCGGGTTTATGGTTTAGGGTTTAGAGTTTAGGGCTTCGGGTTTAGGGTTTAGGGTTTAGGGTT